CCCCCTCCCCCCAGGGGCACTGCACCATGTGCCTTAAATTGCATTTTTCCTAAGGGTGAGTGGCTGGTTGGGGGGTTGGACAGCGGTTTCATCATTCTCCTTTTCTCTGAAGCATGTGCACCCCCGACCCATGTGCACACACCCTTCTCCTTTTATGTCAGACCTGCAACCCATTTCCTGAAGTGCTCCACAGAAACACGTGTGCTGGCTTTTGAACTGACTTCACTATTTCCAACGCTCACTGCCACATTTAGACTCTTGCGGTTCGGCCCCTGTGGTTGTGCGGGCGGGGGCGACTTGGATTCTTTTACCGTGCTATCATTCCACAAGTGCCACAGAAACCTGGCAGTGACTTGTGGAGACTAGATGATAGACTGGAAAGAGCGGTCTAGGTTGAGGAACTGTGTGCAGAGGTTAGGCAGTGTGGTTCAAACGCATGCAAAATGAAACACTTTGCGCTTCGTTCTTGGCGGCGATGCCTTTGTGGGTTTTAAAGCATCTTTGGAGATGTGAAATCTATTGTTTCTTTCTGATGGCGCACACATGAAACGTAACGCAGGCTCAGTAGTGAAAGAAGAGCATCAACACCTTCTGCTATGATTCATGCTCATTCACACAGCCTGAATATTTGAAGGTGCAAAAGAGGGAGAGACAAATAAAAAGAAAAAAAAAGCACGAGCCTCCACTGTGAGTTAATTAAACAGAGGAGTTAATTCATGCGTCTGGCTCGTCCTGACTGTAGGCGAGATGTGGAATAATGTTCACGTGACGTCAGTCGACCCTCCTTTTGTTACGGAACATGGTTTTCTCACCATCTGCTTCGGGTCGTGTCAAGCCACTGGTCCAGAAACATTGAGACAAAGTCCAATATGATTGGCTAACCCCCTTCTTTCTCCCCCTTTTTGTTGCTATGGGTGATGCATTCCTTCTTCTGATGCAATACCAACACTGTCGCAATTGCCACTGTTTACCCCCCCAACACCCACCCACCCCCATTCAGCTACAGTATAATCTCATCTCCATCCCTTTTCTTTGTTTTAACTCTCCCTCACTGATTCCTCTTTGTTTCTTTGTCTTCGCTCCACTTGCTCTCACCTCTGTCTATATTTGCACAATGCTCTCATTTTCCATGCATCCTTCTTTTTTCTTTTCTTTTTTTGTCTTTCTTTTTTGTCAGCCCCTCCCTTGTCTCTTCACCTCTCCACTGCTGGGCTGACCTATATTCCAGCAGGCCGTACAGTTGGAGGCAGCTAAGACGTATTTACAGAGTGCGGTCGGTCCCCAGTTTGTGGGTCAGTGGCACAGGCTGAGAAACAGTCTCTACCCTCGTTCTTGCGTTGCCGTGGCCAGCAGCCACATGTCGGAGGCTCACGAGGACACCCTTAAACCATTCAGATGAAACTTTCAAATATGGTGTAACTCTAATGTAGCTTTTATTGGATTACTCTGCAAGACAGTTTCAAAAAGCCAAAACTTGTGGCCCTGTTTTATAGTTAGTCTGGTTTCTTCTGTATATGAGAACTAAAAGAAAAGTGGTCTGAAATCTGTGTTTATTGTGAGGAGTTACGTAACAATATGAAATCCACAGGACAAGCAGAGCACAGTCGCTGCAAATATCTCACTAGATTATGAGATTACAGATTGTCACAGTGTAACAGCAGCGCTTACGCACTTCAACCTGGAAATGCAGATGATTTGCTGCACTTGGGATGAGAGTACCATTCCATTTTCTATGCAACTTGATAAGCTTGACCTCCCGGGTTTTTAGGCGCTTTTCCAATTGGACCAGTTCATTTAAGAGCAGGGAGAATTGTTGCTGTCTGACACCTCTGAAAGAACAAGTCATGCAGAAGAACAACAACTGCATGCGCTGCCTAATTATTTTTGCAACAGGAGTCTGTCAGGTCACATTACAAATCACAAAAGTTGTCAGAAATCACAAATCTCAGTGTGGAAATTGGGGGAGTAACAGATCATTACAATTTGCACAAAAAGTCTGTGCCAATCTATCCAGGCAATACTGAGATGCTTAATGGGATAATTGAACCATTTTGATAGCTCTAGAAAATGTAGGAAATGTGGCCTAGCTGTTGAGATACTTAGCTCCAATCCAAAGTTGTGGACCAACAAACCAACTGACTTTGAACACCACCGAGCCACCGAGCCTTTAAACAGATGGAAGCATTTAGAAGAATTGCTGATTTGCTTAATTCTGCGTAGCCTCAAAATCAGCAGAATTGTACTACTTTGGTATAAAGGTGCACCTGTTCAGCTAATTACTGAGCGCTGAGGTGTTCCTCGCCATGGTCTGACCATCCTCGCATTTTACCCCCAATCTAACGATTCTGTGTTATCCCAGCCTGTGTTTCTGCTTCCCGCCTCCCTTCTTTCCTGGGGCCACTGACCTATATTTATCAAAGCCCCACCTCCCAGCTGCCCCCCACACCTCCATATCTCTCTTCAGCTTTTTTATCCTTGACCTGCATTAACGATGCCTTTGTCTGCCTTATCTGCTCACTCTGCATCATCGATTTGGCACTGAGTTGTTTCGGAAAAGAATGCTGTCACATTCCTGTGCGGATGAACCAAGGCGGGGGGTAGCAGTGTTCGTGGATGGGGTTTCTCAGTGGAGAGCCAGTCTGGTGTGTGTGTCAGGGAACCCCACGGCTCTGAGACTGACTCACTGTTTGCTCTGTCTGGCCCACATATTCATCTGGCAAAACAAAAAAAGAGCTAATCCTTAAACAGTTTAGTTTTCATGCTCTCAGCATGTCCCAGACTGATGCAATTTCTGTGTTTTTATTTCATGTGTGTGTGCCTGCCTCGATTGCGATATACTTCTATTTAATTTACAAGGCTTTAGTTTTGCCCTCAGCCGCCTACATAAAACCTTATTAGCTCAGACCTTGCGACATTTTAGCATGCAGCGTTGAACAAGTGTGTTTTTTAAATCCTGGGTGTTGAAACAAAACAGGATCATCAGCCTGGCGATGAACCCACTGCTCACATTGCATCACAAAAGTCAACATGACCGGGCCGGGGGTCATAGGTTCCAGACGGATCGGATCAATAGCAAGGCCGAAAGGTCAGACAGTGAGGTCTAGCATCTATTCACTGGTTGCCAGGGGCGACACACTCAGTAAAGGCCAGACATCCCAACAGCAGAGGAAAGCTTTTCTGTTATAGACATGTATTTATTATATTATTTTGCATGCCAAAAGAAGCTGGAAAATGATAAAAATAAATAAATAAAAAAAAGTTCAAATAACTGTAGTTCTGATGTGAGGCTGCAGGATGGAACAGCAGCAGTCAGCAGTGGATTAACAAATGTTTTTTTTCTGTTTTTTATCTCTGCAGGCTTACATCTTGCAGTCAACTGCAGAGAGAACAGAGAAAGACGGAGGGAGGGAGAGCGGCGCTCCCCAAGAGACTGACACGCTGAGGTAGACAGTCCGACCTACATCCTGCTGTTTACGTGGAGATCTGGGACACCTTCTTGCCAGTTTAGCTCCGTGTGCTCTATGCTAAACCTTTAACAACCAACTAAAGCAAGAATTTGGGAAGAAAAAGAGGGAACTAAAGGACTGATCTGAACTGCTTTGGGTCTGTAGTACTCCGAGGAGCTCGGACACTGAATTTATAACCCTTCAAGTGGATAAATGTGGGTTGCTAATGCTGAGCTACAGTTGTTCTTTATCTTTTTGGCTAATTTGGACACTTGACTGTTTACCTGGCATAAGTATACCACATCTACAATAACTAGACCCAGAGCCTTGGGAGACCAGTTGTTTTCATCACTACCCCAACCTCCCCCCACCCCCACCTTTAACCTCTGGCCTAATTCTTCACTCAGTTCACCCAGCAACATTTCAAACTGGCTGCCTCTCGACAAAAATGGAAAATCTAACATCGGCTCTCAAAACGTTAAACAAAAACTCAGGGAATAACCTAAACTGCCTTGAGACCTTCAGCGGTTATGAAGAGTCTCTGCCTTCTATCCAAGGGACTCCAACTCGTATGGGGCGTCTCATCAAACCCAAGCCCAACATGAGCTGCAGGCGAAAGCGGGAGTTCATTTCCGATGAGAAAAAGGACGCCTCCTACTGGGAGAAGCGCCGTAAAAACAACGAGGCCGCCAAGCGCTCCCGGGAGAAGCGGCGTCTCAATGATATGGTTCTGGAGAACCGCGTCATTGCACTGAACGATGAGAATGTGAGGCTCAAGACAGAGCTGCTCCAGCTGAAGCTGCGCTTCGGCTTAATAAGCACTGCCTCCTACATTGAAAAGAGTCAACAAATCAGTGCGGGTAGCAATGCAGGAAATGGAGGTTCCTCCTCCTCCTCAACTCAGTACTACTCCAGTGGTTACTCTAGTGGTTCTCAGGTGATGGTGAACTCTGACTCCTCTGAAACGGAGCAGTCGGGACGCAGTGAAGGCCACAGGCAGCTGGTGAAATACTCTCCACGTGGTTCCCTCTCTGACATGTCTGATGGCTCCTCCAGGGACAGCCCAGAGCCAATCCCCTTTGAGATCAAGCAGGAAGGTGACAGGCTGGAGATGGACATCGCCAACGGCACCACCACCCAGATCATGTTTAACATCCACCGTGGACTGGCCTCTGTGCCCACCCACCACCAGATCCAGCAGCATTCTCAGGAGTTAGAGGCTACATATCACAGCCAAGAGCAGCAGCAGCACCACCTTCACCAACAGCCCCAACCCCATCAGGAGCCCGTTACTTCTATCAACACTGTCAGCCAGGCCGCCTCTCATCCGCCTGCTGCCCAGAGGAGCGTCATTCTGTACGGTGCCAGCAGTGCCTCTTATCCCGTGGACTCCTTGACCAGGACGCAGGATGCCGAGCTGCTGAACGTGCAGAAGCAGGGCAGCACCGGCAGCCAAGTGTGTGCTAGCCAACAGCCCATTACAGAGAGCTCCACGGAAACAGTGGCCGAGGTGATGAAGCAGCTTGAGAGGAAGACATTAGATTCCCCTCCGTATGAGCTCTCAGACTGCCGTAATGAGGCTAGAGAGAGACAGGTGTACCGTGTTTGCCAACTCCCCCAGCAGCAACTGCAGCAGGAGCAGCATCAGGAGAGCGATTCATCTGCGGAGCTCCACCACAAACAAGTGGAGGGTGTCAGCCACTCACACTTGTACCACCATCTCCAGCAGCCTCACTCATACCTCAGCACACAAGACGAGGAGCCACCTGTTCTTACTTATGAGGGCGGGCCCAGGCATGAGGCTTATTACAAAGGCCAATCAACCTCCTCTTGTAAGGAGGCCACATCCAGTGAAGGAGATCCTTGCAGTCCAGAAAAAGAGGCATCCACAGACGACGATGAGCTTCCCTCCTCGTTGTGCTCAGAAATGGGCAGCTTCCACAACTCGCATCTTACCATCCACCAACCTGCCTCGCCTCTGCCCTCCTCCCAGGGCCCTCAGGCTCAGTGCTGGGACCCTCAGGGGGAGGTGAGGGGAACCGCTTTGCCCCACAAACTGAGACTCAAACACCGGGCCATGAGCACCGGCAGCAGCAGCAGTAGCGGCAGCAACTGCTCCGGCCAAGAGTCCCCAACCACCCCTCCCTCCGCCACGCCGCCACCTCTCCCCCAGCATCCCTACTTGTCCCTGACGCCCCCACAAAACATTAAGCAAGAGAGCTCAGGCGGAGGTTGTAAACAGGCAGCCTCAGGGGAGGGGGCCAGGAAGGAGGGTGGAAAAAAGGAGACAGGTGGACGAAGGAACAAGAGGCGCGATTAGGTGACATGGACTTTTAGTTGAAGTCGTTATGACAACTTCAATGACTCAAAGACACAATTTCTCATCGAAGAACTACCCTGCCATCATGCCTTTTGCCCTATGATTGACTCACCCCTTTTCAGCCCTCGGGACAGGAAACTTAGCTTTTCTACTCCACTCCCACCCAACGAGGCTGATCATCTTGTAGGGCTGTATTATATTTGTATATATTGTACAGAGTTGTCATTTCTTACATCCTCTCCATACTTACAGATGCACTTTTGTTTATGTGATGAGAAGAGGAATGGAACTGTCCACTTTTTCTACTTTTGTCATCCAACAATATACAGTTGAGTACATCAGTGAAAGCACATTTTGATAACAAAAACACAAATAAAGAATGTAGAAAAATAAACGCTTCAGGCTTTATCAGTGCTAAAATTTTGGTACATATCCGACTGTAGAGGAGCATACACGTGTATGGCTATCTGCCTTAATTAAAATCAAATGCAAACATACACTGGGGACATTCCCTCGACCAAAGAAGCACCAACAATACTATCAATAAGAAGTTCCATACCTCTTCCCAGACCCTACCTCTACCACCCCATGCTTTCCCCAGTCATCTCCATTATTTCTCAAAAGATCACCATCACCTTTATTTTTTAAGCACTTGGTTTGTATAGTACTGTGATATATGAATATATGTATCTATTTTAAACATATATTTTACAAAACAAATTTGAATACAAATTGAACCAAAAAAACAAAAAACAAAACAAAAAAAACTGCAACAAATCTTTGGAGGATTCTGAAAGCGACCCTCCTGTCTCGAATCGACTCTCTTCATTGTCTACTGTGGCTACAGGACCCATTCGATTTGAATCACCTCTCACTTGATTGTTGAGCTTTAGCATTAATCGGTTAGTTAATGCCTAGTTTACACTTAAACGGCCGTCCATTTTGGAGCGCCAACAGCACTGAATGGAGAACGCGTTGTTCCCTGAGGCAAAGGCCTCGTTAAAAAAAGAAAAAAGAATCTTTGAATTTTCTTACCTTTAACCAGCCTTTAAATATTCGGTGGACTTCACCAGCTGCAGGCTATGAGCCTTTAGTTCATTTGAGCTTTATCGACCATATCTTCTTCTTGTTGTTACCATTCACTGGCCCAGTGTATTTATTTCCCCTCCCTTCACACGCCCATCACTGTAGAAAAAGCCCACAGGAACATAGATGGAGAATGTGTACAGCTCTTTTTAGATGCATACTGCAGCCTTGATTTTGAACTTTCACGTCAGACATGGGACGCTTGGGAGGCATGAACGAAAGCAGGAGGAATTAAGTCACATTCTTATGAAACACACTACAGTGCACTGAGTCTCAAAGTTCCTCTTGTGGAAACACCTAAGAAAAGAGCCCTCCACAACTACTGTTTACTTTTATTGTCATGAAAAAGTGGTTTTGTAGTGTGACCAAGCATGGCCCCTATGGCTCGCATTCAACATGCGTAACTGAGTTAATACAGCTCATAAGCTGACGCTACAGCGAAGTTCTCTAACTCTTCGATCGAGTAAACAATTCTGAAATGAACGAAGAGAGGGCACTTCCCTTGTTTCCCATTTTTCTCCGTTGTTCATTATCAGGGGTTATTCGTGGTAGTTCTGCTACTGGGCAGTGCTGAATTGCCTTCACTGGATTCTAGTTTTTAAAAGAAAAAAGTCTATGTACCATGTTTGGCTTTTTGGTGCTTGTGTATAAATGTAAAGTTTCCCCTCCCCGCCCTCAAACAACACTGTAACGTTTGTTTCATTGGTTTTTATATCCTGTTTTGTTTTGTTTTGTTTTATAGTCAAGAGGTGATGTTCTGTTTTCCTCTATACTGTGTCTTTTTTCCTACTGACTGTGATGACATGTATTTGCCTCATTACGCTCCCCCCACCCTTTTCAGTGTGTATTAATCAGTAATGTTTGTGGTTTTGCTGATGGTTTTAATGAAAAAGACAAGGACAAAAAAAAAGAAAAGAAAAAAGGCAAAGATAGTGTGGTGTGTAGAGATGGGTGGTGGTTGGTCTGGTTGGTCATTACCATCGCTTCCTTTTGACATATGTAAAGACACTAATGTTCATTGTGGAAGATGGGAGCATTTCAAGAAAACTCAAATAAAAAAGAAATAATGTTGACCCGTCAACATATCAAGAAAAATTCTTGTTTGTCCTTGTTTGTGTTTTGGTGGCTTAATGCAATCGCACCTACATTGATGCTACGTGCACGTTCATATCCACCTTATCCACTGACTTTTACAGCCCGCTGCACACGGCTGACACTGAAGTGAGCAGTCGTTTGGATCTGTGTACGACTCTTGGCTGGCAGTGTACAAAAACACAGTCTGTAGGCACCATATCCAAGCTGGCAGCCTAGTTTCTGCTATCAACTGAGATGATGATCCATGAACCTTATGCAAGAGTCATCAGTTAGGTAATAATTACTCAGTGATTGGCATAAGAGAGTGAGTCACAATGAGAACGCAAACATGTTAAATTAGAGCAATTTTTCTTGTGTTTCTTGAAGTTTATAAAGGTTCTTCCTATAAAGATCCTTCTTGCTGTTCTCAAAAAGTTTAGCAGGAACACCCTGTTTTCACTAAGCAGAGATAGCCTTGTACTGAGCTAAATGTCCCCACTTGCTCTTTTTTGGCATCCGAGACCAATCTGCAGAGAGAGGAGCGTCGCACTAACACACTGACACACTTTGCCTGGTGGCGCCAGAAAACTCGTCTGATGTAACACTGGCCTACTTCTACACAGACACCAAAGCTCATTGCATGAAATAACCACTAAACATTACACTTGTGCGTGCGTTCTTCTGATTACAGCTTCTCTGGCGGCTTATGACTCGTGCTTTCAACCTCTGATTTCTCTCCACGTGACGTTGAGGGCTTTTAAAATGAAACAAAAATATCAACTCTATCCCACTCTTGACGTGAAACGTTCAGCCAAAAGGTTAAGGGATCGCTTTAGATTTGCAACAACTTAAACAGGTGTGCCCCACATAACGTCGGTGAATATTTATAGCAGAGGAGCAACACAGACCGGACTGAACAGCATCTGACCTGTGAGAGTCAGCGCTGTGTGATGCAGAGGACAAAGCCAGGGCAGAGCCAGTCTGAGCCTCTGACTGCTGCCACCAGCTCAACTGTCCTGCCAACCTCCTGATCAAGTCCCAGTGCGTTTATTGTATTAAAACAGAAAAGGCTGCTGTGTAATCCTGTCTAAGTCCGCATTCAGACTCACGGGCTATACGGAGCCCCGTTTAAACACAAAGCGAGTGTTAGCCGGAGTTCAGCACTAGTATTTGGATTCTATATTCAGGGATCGATCACTAGACTGCCCTTTGGCTCAGGTGTCACATGCAGAAACTGTCTGGATCATTTCTTTCCCACCCTCCTTTAAAGCAAAATGGGTCATTTTCATAATAACATAAAGGGCAAAGGGAGGAGCAACACTGGGGGGAGTTAACCCAGTAGGCTAACTTGATCTAAGCCTCCAAACAAAGCACCTCTTTGAGGCTGACACATCAGTGCCTTTCACAGTGCACTGTCATACACACACACACACACACACACACACACACACACACACACACACACACACACACACACACACACACACACCAGTGCCCAAGAGCACACATGTACGAAAAGAAAAAGAAGTATACAAAGTATCATCTCATAGGATTTTGGCTCTTACAGGGCATTCCTTATAATAGCCAGCCTACCCAGCACCCATAGGATCATTCCAAGGTGACACTCCCTGTGAGAATAACAGAGCTCAGGCAGCATTTTTTTGCTGCGTCTCTTATTTTCCTGATTTGACTTGAATGGCTGCACCACCGGAGCCTGCATAAACAGGTCAGGAAAGTAGGTCAGTGTGCGTAACAACGGAAAAGAGAGGAGAATGAGCCTGAAACACAGGGAGAGAGGGAGACACAGAGAGAGGGAGATGAGTGGGGGGTGCTGATAGATGGATCGATCAAGGTTAAGGCTCCATCCGTGTCATTCTTGTTTGTCTGTGGCAGCAGAGATACTCTTGACAAACAAAGCAGAAACAGGGCTCTCGTGTTACCTGGTTCCCCTTCTCAGTCTGGGGTAAAAGGGTTAGTGGAGCAGGAAAGGCAGTGGGAGGAGTAAAAGAGGCATGTGAGCACAGAGCAGAAGGGAATGGGAGGGGGGTGCCTCAAGGTTCTTAAAATTGTAAGGTAAAGACCCTACAATAATAAAGAGAAAACCCCAACGATCAGATGGCACCCTATAAGCCAGCAAGCACTCGGTGACAGCGGTAAGGAAGAACTCCCTTTTAACAGGAAGAAACCTCAGACAGAACCGAGCTCAGGGAGGGGCGGCCATCTACTGTGACTGGTTTGTGCTGATGGGAGAAAGATGGGAAGTGGTACACAAGAAATTTGTAACACATCTTCAGGTAAGACGACTGAAGAAGCCCCGGTCTGCACACTGTAAATCAACAGAAGCCCATTTTCCTCCATTTGTCATTGGGGGCAGTTATGACTCTTTGCAAATGTTCTTCAGTTTCTACATAAACACACACGTCCATATAAGCATACATTACATGTGCTCATGCAAACACAGAGTGTATATATTCAGAATTCGCACAATAGCACAGTGCTGTTGACCTAATTAGTCAGTCAGAACCCTAAAGGCACATTTCTCAAGTCTAGGTTCTTATTACAGAGTCTGTTACATTAACTCTATGACACATGGTGGTTACATAAAGACAGCAAAACACTGCTTTGAAGTGTTTCTTCGGGGGAAAAAGACCCCACATTTATTTGAGGCCGTTAAAAGAGCAAGTAAAGACCAAAACCCTTTTTTTCTTGCATAACTAACTCATAGCCTGCGGCACAGTTCACATCTCATCCATGTTATACAGATTCATTAGCCCTAGAAAGCACAAGTGAGTAGGGTATAAAGAAGGAGCAGCATACACAGGGTATGACAAGGAGCTTACATATATTCATCACAAGCATGAATGCCAGGATAACTTCGGGCTTTTAATGGTTTCATCAAAGTATTCAGTCAAAACAGCGACTTGACGTAATCTAGAAATAATAAGCACAGGTTAGATAAGTTAACTAAACCAGGACAGTTCACATTACATCTCAGTCATTACTGACTGAAAAGAGCAACCAGCAATTGCACTGTCATAGATTGAATGTCAATCGTTGTGGCAAAGTCTATAAGTTATGTGTGCAACACCCTCAGCTTCTAGGTAGCTACTATGATCCCAAGCCAACTGCCTGGTGGGGGGCAACCTGTCACCAAACCAATCTCAATGTCTCACTCGGACTGGCTGAAAACAGTATCGTACAGATTGGAGGTCTTAATCCAAACAGTTGCTAACTTTTTGTTTTATGATTATATTTCTATATTAATGCAAAGCTGCTGAGTGCCTGTCTTTTTTTTTTTGGAGTTAAATGCCATGAGGAGGCAACTATATCACTATCTGTGGAGGAATTTCTGAGTTTTAATATCAAATCTATGACGTCCTGGCTGGACTCTGAATAGAAGTTATGAATGTGAATCTCTGCTAATGCAATGGCAGCAGATTTGCAAATTTTTCCTAGTTTGTCTCTTCAGTTAATCATTGAATTACCACAAACAGATTGCATGTAACTGGCAAACTGATTGCTGACTGATTGTCTCTTTATCGCAGTTTCATTGCTTCCTTGATATGC